GTTCTCAGACTTGTTATGTCCGTATTCGATCCACTTGGTTTTCTAACTAATCTAGTGATTCGAGGAAGAATGATCCTCCAGCAGATTTGTAGAACTGGGATTAGTTGGGATGATTGTATACCTGGGAGTGTTTTTGAAATATGGCTATTATGGCTAGATGACTTGAAACATATCTCAGGGATACAAATTCCAAGGTGTTATTCACCGTCACTCCCGGATGCTACATTTCTAGAGATACATGTTTTCTGCGATGCCAGCGAAGAGGCGTTTGCTTGTGCAGCATATTTGAGAATTATTTTTGAAGATGAAATACAAGTAGTTTTGATTTCCTCGAAAGCCAGAGTATGTCCTCTTAAACCACTTTCAATACCCCGATTGGAATTGCAAGCAGCAGTTATGGGAAGCAGACTATTAGCGACTATCAAAAAAGAGTTATCATTGGACATTCAGAATTGCTACTTATGGTCAGACTCGAAAACGATATTACATTGGATCAATGGAGATGGTAGAAACTATAAACAGTTTGTATCACACCGAGTAGGCGAAATACAAGAACTTACAAAACCTGAACAATGGAGATATGTACCAAGTGATATGAATAATGCTGATATGTGCACAAGATTCATGAATTCCATTGACTTCGACAAAAATCTTACATGGTTTCGAGGACCTGACTTCCTAAGAGAATCAGAAGATCCCTGGCCCAAACAAATAGATATAGTAAAATTCTGTCCAGATGATAAAGTAGAAAGAAAAGCAGATGCGACATTCTTTGGCCTAACAACAAAAAAGCTACAAATTATTCCAGATATAAGAAGATTCTCGAAGTGGAGAAGATATGTACGGGCCACAGCATGGATATTTAGATATTATTTTGAACTACTCCACAGAATAAGAAGAGAGAATGTATTCCACTCCAGTGAATTGACGTGTCAAGAGTTCGAAAATGCCGAGTTGTATTGTCTTAAAGTTTGCCAACAAGAAAGCTTTCCAGATGAACTGATCCAGCTGAAAAATGGAGGAAAAGTAGAAACAGCATCACGGATTTCACAGTTATTACCATATCTTGATGAAAATGGATTGATTCGCATTCATGGAAGACTGAATCTTAGCCAAAATATCGATGATGCTGTGAAATCACCAATTATTTTGGACCCAAAAAATCGCTATACAAAATTAATGATATTGTTTTATCATGAAGACAATTACCATCAAGGTGTAGAGTCGGTACTCAACAATTTACGCCAGCGATTTTGGATTTTAAGAGGAAGATCTGCTGTGAAAACTGCTTTCAAGTCTTGCCAGATCTGTAAAATTAAGAAAGCTAGACCCGAACCTCCTCAAATGGGACAACTTCCTTTATGCCGACTCACCTCCAATGTACCACCGTTCACCTTCTGTGGAGTTGATGCTTTTGGGCCATTTTATGTAACAGTTGGTAGACACAAAGAGAAACGATGGGGAGTACTTTTTACATGCATGGGAATCAGAGCAATTCACCTCGAAATAGTGCACTCACTCTCTGCAGACAGTACGATTATGGCAGTACAAAGGATGATGGCAAGAAGAGGTAAAATAAGATGCCTCTATTCTGACAATGGAACAAATTTCCGTGGAGCATCTGAAGAATTGAAGACCTTTTGGAAAAATATTGACCACGATGAAATGACGAAGAAGCTATCGGAAAAGATGATTGAATGGCATTTCATAGCACCCGCGTCTCCAAATATGGGCGGATGTTGGGAACGGTTGATAGGATCTGTGAAGAAAATACTCCAGAACATTTTGAAAGAAGAAAGTCCAAAGGATGAAGTTCTCCTTACTGTTTTTGCAGAAGCCGAAAACATTGTTAACAATCGACCAATCACTCATATATCTCTAGACCCCAACGATGAAGAGTGTTTAACGCCTAATCATTTGTTGCTTGGATTGAAACGAGAGCCATTACCAATGAAATTTGAAGAAACTCCAACAAGAAAACTATGGAAAAAGGCTCAACGACTTTCGGACAATTTTTGGTCAAGGTGGGTAAAAGAATATTTGCCAACCTTAACAAACAGAGGGAAATGGACCAAGAGCTCTATACCGGTTCAGATTGGCGACATGGTTGTCGTGGTTGAATCGAATTTTCCAAGAAATAAATGGCCGTTAGGAAAAGTAACAGCTGTTTTTCCTGGAAAAGACGGTGTTGTTAGAGTCATCGACGTGCAAACAGCACATGGTGTGTATCGTAGGCCGGTGACCAAAGTTTGTAGACTTGATATTCAACCTGATGATGGTGAAAACTGATGTTTCCACGATGGGGAGAATGTTAAATATTTCGTAATTTTTGCCTAAATTTGGTTGTAATATCACTCAGTAGAAAAATAAAGATTGGAATTGAGACATTGAAAAAGTGTAGTTGTCATTGACTTATAATTTGATTTTACTATACAAAATAGTTCCAATTTATCACAAAGGTGTTCGAACTTGAACGATGGAAGTTTATTATTTTTATCTCTAATGGCAGATTCGAGATTGGGTTTTCTCAATTCAGATTTCTTTCCACGCCCTGTATGATGAATATCAATTTTTCATACATCCAAACCTGGAACCTCATCCAAACCTGGAACCTATCTTATTTTCTTCATTGAAATGAATGACAATAACATTTCGTCTTCCAAAAATATTTTTTTAAATACGGAACTGGATAGCACGAAAGCTATGAGTAATCACAAATCTTTATTGGCAGAGGTGTATACAGGGTGGCATTGAAATAAGTGCAAATATTTTTTTTTTTTTTTTTTTTTTTTTATCGCTTGGAGCGCACGAGAGGAAATCCCTATAATGTTCAAAGAACATCGTGCGTTCCTAGGGAGGATAGGGACAGGAGGTAGGTATTGGAATTTTTTTTGAACTTCTGGAGATTATATGTTGTTGGGAATACTTCCACAGGCAATGAATTCCAGAGCCTAGCTGTTCTATGGATGAAGGAGTCTTGATAAAGTGCTGTTCGACATCTTCCGAGGTTGACAACGAAAGGATGTGCTGACTGGGCTTGTCTAGTTCGTCTGATTGGTATTGCTAGTGAAGGGATGATAGCAGAGATTTCCGAAGAACATTTCCCGTGGAAGTATCGATAGAAAAGTGAAAGGTCGCCGACCTTTCTACGGTGTTCTAAAGATGTCAAAGAGTGAGTGAGTGTGGCGTCACCCACCAGGCGAATGGCTCTTCTCTGGATGGAATCTAAGAGCATCAGCGTATGTTTTGGTGCTGAACCCCATATGTGGGAACAGTATTCTAGAACAGGTCGTATCTGCGCTTTGTAGATCATGAGAAGCTGTTGAGGTGTAAAGTAGCTTTTCGCACGGAACAAGAATCCGAGTTTTTGGTAAGCAGCTTTTGCGATGGGAAAGCTCAACGTGTACTATCGAATGGCACTAATGAAAAAAATTGTGGGATCGAAATGAAATTTGAGGTTAGACCCCTTTCTCCATCCAGAGTTTTACACTGTAGCAAATCTGGCGCCACCTCTGTTCAAATTTCCATGCGGTAGGCACAATCACGCGGCGATCAATCATTAAAATTGTTTTAAAGTGGCGTACTTGATTGTTTTCTCGTATTTTGTTCAATTTTTGGGATGCAATTTCTTGTTAATTAGAAGAATTAAAAAAAATCTGATATGGGAATATTCCTTAGACTAAATCATATTAATGTGCTGAACATGTGCACTTATTTCAAAAACACCTTGCATAATATTAAAAAAACAGAAAATGAAAATGTGTGATAGATCATAGCTTTTGGGCTATACAAAGGTAGGAAAAAATGGAATGATGATTAAAGGTCCTTTTTAAAAAAACAATAAGTTGATGATGGTTTCTGGAAGACCAAATGTCAGATTTTAAATTTGAAAACGATAACTTGTAGGGAAGAAAAGGTGACCATGAAGTCTCATTCAATTCAATTAAGAAACAAAAATAGTTTCAGAATTCTTTTAGTCGGGTATCTCCGAAAGTATTCGGAATTTTCAAGGCTTCAAACCATCATTTAGTAGAGAAATACAAGTAGGTCAACCGGTGTCAAAGTAATGATGTTTGATTGGAACCGGCGTCAAAGTAATGAATTAGCAAAAACGAATATCCTCGTCGTTACATAATATGTATAAACTATTAACCTAAAAGAAAAAAACAATGAGTAGTCAGTGATACCTTGTTTTGAAAAAAACTTGGAAGAGGAATGAAGACATAAAAAATATCAAATTTTTACCTAGCTTTGGAAGAGAAGATAACCAAATAAGAAAAATCAAAGAAACTGCTTTCAGTTGATATACACTCACTGGCGAAAAAAATCGGTCAGCTGAAATATTTCATAAAATTTCTCTAAATTTCTATTACTTTTGCTGATATTATCGATTTAAATTCTTTCGTGGTATTTATCATTTTGTTTAGCCAATTTCAAAGCCAATGGTAAATTCGAGATCAATAAAAATTAACCTACAACTCACACGTTTTCCTAAAGGTGAATTTGAGAAAATAATAATTTATATGTTGAAAACGGCAGATTCGTTCCCGAAAGGTCTAAAGTAAAGTAAAAATTCGAGATTTTTTCGATATATCAGTAGTTCTCTTCTCCAAACATTTTTTAAAACAAAGTGTCCCTATTTATCTACAGAATATCGAGGAAATCTAGGAAGATAATTATTCCACTTCCTACTGCTATGTTAGTTTTCGAGAAACATGCCTAACACTACCACTACTATGTAAAAATTGACTCCCAGGGATTGACAACAATTTTCGCCCATTTTTTTTCATCAACAGAACAGAATATTAGTATTTTTTCAATTCAAAAACTCTTTATGTGTGAAGGCCTGTTCAATTTTCAAAACACTTTGAATCCAGAAATGACAAGTGAGTCCACAATATCCAAGAGCGTTGTATATCAGATATTCTAGCCACACTCGATGCGAGAAAATTATTTCAAAAAGAGAAACCAAAAATTCTCAATAAAAATTGATTTGTTACCTCAAAGGAGTAGTTCCTGCAGACCCGAAGCTTGCTGAAAAGTCGCTAGGAGCAGTGCCATATCCCATATCTCCACTATTAGGAGTAGTAAATTCACTGTTCCTATAACTCCTGCTTATATACCGTTCCCTTTCACGTTCTCTTTCGCGTTCCCTTTCCCGTTCCTTATCCCTTTCCTTATCTCGTTCCTTATCCCGTTCTCTTTCTTTTTCTCTCTCACGATCTCTGTCCCTATCCCTTTCTCTGTCCCTCTCTCTGTCCCTCTCCCTTTCTCTCTCCCTGTCCCTGTTCCTATCTCTATCTCTGTCCCTATCCCTGTCCCTATCTCTGTCCCTATCTCTGTCCCTGTCCCTGTCTCTGTCTCTGTCCCTATCTCTGTCCCTGTCCCTGTCTCGATCACCATCTCTTTCTTTCACTTTTTTGATGGACTCCTTCAAATTATCTTTAGCTTTAGGTGGATCATTATCTCCAAAATCTTCATCTGCTGGATCGTATGGTCTATCAGTATCATTTTTATTCTTATCTTCAGCCAATGGGGTAGCATCACCAGTTGGAGGTAATGGAATAGCTTTCTTCTCAGTTGTGAATTCCTCAAACTTTTTCTTGCACTAAAATAAAAAAACTCGTTTTGATCAACACCTACATTGTTGAATGATCATGATTGAAACTGGATGAATGAATTATAAAGTGAGTTCATAATGATTCAATCAAATTCGATATTTCTCATAGATGCTGGGAACGTTTTCCATCAAAAAAACTTCGGACACAAAATTTGTGTGACCTTCAATATAGTGGTGAAATGGAAATTAATGAAGGAATTTTGGGAGATTTTGGTATATCAAATGTTGAATCTTTCATCAATCAGATATGGCAATTAAAAAAAGGCAGACCTCATCTGCAAACCCAGAGGTCTACATGATATCGTCAAGGCGGAGGACAGCCTAGGACAACACAGCCAAGACACGAGGTTACTAAAGAATTTAGAACTGGTGTTATAAGAACAGACTGATAGTTAACATGAAAAAAACAGTCTGCATGGAATTTTCATATTCATCTAGAACCCTACATGATTTCGAATTCAATTTTCAAAATGAATTCCTGAGGCTATCTGATTCAACAATATTCTTGGGACCGATGATCGATCCACTGTTTACAGGGCATGATCATATTGTTTTACATGTAAAAAACTTAATCAATCATATTACTTGATCAAATCTCTGAAATGTAAGTTGGATACGAAATCACTGATATCAGTGTATTATGCTAAATTCCACTCTATTATCAAATACAACATCACCATTTGGGGACTGTCTACAAGGACAGATCGAATCTTCATAAAACAAAAAGCCTTGTTGAGGTTAATTTTCAATCTAGATTATCGAACTTCCTGTAGATACATTTTCCGCCAAAATAAAATATTAACCGTAACAAGTATATACATTCTGCAACTATTGACAGTTATACAAGAAAAGAAAGGCGAATTAAGAACAAGAATGGAAATTCACAGTCATAATACCAGGAACAGAAATATGATCACAACTAATAAGCACCATAATTCAAAATATGAAAGTTCCCCCATGTTTGCAGGAGTTCGTCTCTACAATCTCTTACCAAATAATATCAAAGAAATGAATCCTCCAAAATTTAAAGAAAAAATTGAAAATGTTCCTGGCTGATAATTGTTTTTATTCTGTAGATGAATTTAAGGTCGCTGTAGGTACTATTTGAATAATTCTATATTTTAAATCAAATTATTAGTATGTCTTTCTATGTAAATACTTATATTTGTTTATTTTTTAAATTGTTGTTTTGTACCCTTTACCATTATGTGTGACTTGTCCTATCTATACATGTTGTAGCACAAAGGATCGATAAAATCTATCTATCTATCTATCTACTAAACCAGAATCCAAACTTCCTCAGTTACTACGAACGTTCTCTGATTTCCTAACGCTCGATACCCCGAATCTAGTGAAATTCGTCAGGATGTTGAACTTTGGAAGTATCTCACCTAACGCCATGTTTGTACTTCTGTTGTTCTTTTGAGGGTGTGACAATAAAATTTATAATACTTAGCTCAAAAATCTGGCATAGACTGACGAAGAAACTTCAAAGGTACCCTGAGTGCTTTATTAGGCGTTCCTGCCAAAACCATCAGAAAATATAACCAGGCAAATTCTATAATGTAGGAGTACTTGCGAATTTGACATGAATGCTTACAAAACACCGTCGTCTAAGATACCACCTAAGAATTTCAAATCTCTTGTAATTTTGATACCTTAAAACTCAGACAAAATGACTCACTCAGCCGTATATGTATTTCCAAGGAGGTCCAGATTTTTTCACATTGATTTTGAGAGATGGTTGCAAAATAAGTGAACTTGCTTAATGTAGCTCCAAAATGTACCATAACTCAAATACAAGTGGTAGAAATTAAAACTCAAACTCCAAAAGACTCGCTCTGAGTGAGCCTTCTTGTTCGATGCTTCAGCCGTTCAGAAGTAAGGCGAAAAAGTTATTTTAATTTCATCCACCTTGGAAGGATATATCTCATACTCATTTTCCAATGTACTATCGCCTCAAGAAAGCTGGGGACACATTTTCGGCCCACCCTGTATATCCATTTTTTCACATTCATCATATATCCGGGAATATTTCTTTTTAATTATTCACAATTGTTCATAGTTCCAAAATTATCAACTTTTGTGATATGAAACAATTCGTCAAACTTGTTCAACATTCAACGTCGAATTAAAAAATGCAATGATATACAGGATGTTCCATTTAAAAAAATGAATTTCCAAGTCGCTGCGCTTTTTTGAGAAACTCAGTATAAATGAAACTCAAACCATTGAATAGATCGAATGAGACCCTACAAGTTATGCATTTAACGTTTTTTGTAATACGTAAAATAAAGAAGTTACGAGGAGGGCGACGGACTTTTGTGTGGTCCTCACTCTATAATTTTTTAATATGCATTTGAATTCATGAATATCACGTATATTAGAATTATTAAATTACCAAGTACGATGTAATTCACTGACTTTTTCTTTTGGATTGTAAGGCAATGTAAACATTTCAATTCGATTCATACAATGAAAGTATTATTTTATTCTTATGTGTACAGCAAAATCAAGTTTGCAACAGTTGTCTGGTGTCCGCAGTATACCGTTCAGATACAAAGACTTGAGCTGATTCAAAAAATTTTTCTGCGATTTATGGATTACAAGATCAGTGGCACATATTATGATTACCTTGCACATATATACTCAGGCAACAATTCCAATTTCATTCACTAAAGGCCCGCCGAGAACAATCATATATATTTTTTATTTAAAATTCTGAACAATGCAGTAGATGCTCCTAATTTATTATCAAATATCTCATTTCATGTTCCTTCACGTATCCTTAGACAAAACGAGATATTTTCAGTTCCATTTCATCGCACAAACTTAGGAATAAACTCACCACTACACAGAAATAGAAATTTTTCTTCAATCGATCTAAACTGCTCCACAGTTGAAGTGAGACAAGCGAACATTTTGTTTGTTTTCGAACCGTGATAACTTTGGATGAGATCAACCGATCTTTGATTAGTTTTGAGATTGTGATTGCACAGTTGATTGGCTATAACATATTTTTTTTACGTTTCTCCACCATTTCGGAATTATGACCTACAGGATGATATCTGAAAGTGTGATACTTTCCGAAAAGTTTGAGGTCGCCCCGTTAGCAGGATAATTTTTGAAGTCTTCCGTTGTCGTCCACCTCCGTGACGATAATTACGACGGATTGCCCTGTATATTGAAGCTCTTGATGTATCGAAATACTGTCCAATGTCTTCAACATTCAAACCACCATCTCTCATTCTGAGAACCATTTGTAATTGTTCATTAGTTATTTGTGGCATATTTTATTAGAATAATCAAATGTTTGACAATTTCTGATTATTTCCCAGACAACATGTTATACCGAGGGGTTAACCAATGAATTTAAGGTATTCAAAAAATTCGAATAGCCATTATGTTGTTCAAAATTGCATATCTCAAAACATCCTGTATGGATCTTGATGAATTCGAAACCAGTTCGAGGAAACACAACATTAGGGTTCATGTTTTTGCCGTCAGAAAAATTTTAAAAAAATTATCCTGCTAACGGGGCGACCTCAAACTTTTCGGAAATTATCACACTTTCAGATATTATCCTGTAGGTCATAATTCTGAAATGGTGGAGAAACGTAAAAAAAATATGTTATAGCCAATCAACTGTGCAATCACAATCTCAAAACTAATCAAAGATCGGTTGATCTCATCCAAAGTTATCACGGTTCGAAAACAAACAAAATGTTCGCTTGTCTCACTTCAAATGTGGAGCAGTTTATTTCAGTTTTCATTAAATGTTTTCAAAATAAGAATAGAGAATCGTCTGTTATTGTCCTATTTAATTTTCAATAAAATAAAAAATAAACTCATGACCAATAAAAATGATTACTATTATTCATGAAATTGTATATCTGAACAAAATCTACGGCATACCTGTTCTCCAAAAGGATCCAGAAAAACTTCCAAACTCTTGCCCATTACGCTGGTTTTGTTGAGTTTTTCAACACAAGTCTTTGCGCTTTTTATCGTCTCATATACAACTCTACCGAGTCCAAGATGCTTGTTGGAGGCAGGGTGATAGTAGATGAACAGCTCCTCTATCTCACCGAATTTCTGCACCATATCTCGTAAAAACGTTTTGTCGATGTTGTCATTGAGTTGGAAGATTGTGACTTCTATTGAAGGTGGCTCGCCGACATAATGCATATCGATTTTGAATCTAAAAAAAAATCGAAATAAATTTAAATAACAGAGATGGTGTTTTTTACGAAGGCGCCGAAAAAAATAGAATGATGGTATATTATACACCTAGGGTGAGAAGTGAGCTATTATATAGCAAGCACTTTTATATCCAGAGGCGCGAAGCACCGAAGGATATAATGTGCAGCATTGTTCAGCTATATTAATAAAATTATGGAAGTGACCAAGAAGTGAAAAATGTGTGGAAACTTTCCTTTTGAAATACCATATAAGCACATTGATATCATTATGATACAACCAATAGTCTAGAAGATATTGCATGCCTAATAGGTTCGTTGACACCCAGTATGCAGTTAATCCTGCTTCAAACAGGTTTCAGACATATTTCGACATGCGATTTCCGAATTATTTAAGAAAAACGTGAAATAATCAACTTCGAACGCTCCCCTACCGGACTTTTAGTATGTTGTTCATAGCACTAATTCCACCCGACCTACAAAAAATTTGCGACCACAATCAGATTTCATCAAAATAAACCAATTGAGTAATCAAACTTCCATAATATTTATTTATTTATTTATTTATTTATCTATTCCAACAAACAGGTTTTACCCCAATTACATGTTGTGTGTGCATGGATGTTTGTTTGAAGTAGTACCTCATTTTCTATATCAATCACAGTAAAAATACTGCTTTTTCAAATAATACAGTACTAAATCTAACTCAAAACTAAATATATATATATACATACAACTCATCCACTAAATAAGAATAATCACTGGATCAGTACAGTTTCACTATTTTGTGATAATTTATTTTCTATTTAAGCTTTTTTTTGAAAGCATTTGTTTATAATTTATAATAATAATAACATACATAATACTATTGATAATGATTTCTGATTTGATTTCCGAATGTAATTACACTATCTCGAAATATGTCACAGTATGTTTGATTTTCATTATAGAATATTGTCATATTTACATGTGGAGATTTCAATTGATAATTTGTCCGAGATGTAGTCACTGCAAATGTGTTGTTATTACCCGAGTTCTTGAGTTTGGTATTTGTAACTTTACAGATGGAAGAGTAGTACAGTCTTGCGTCATGTTGTTGTATATTTTGTATAGATACATCAGGGTAAAGTACACTATTCTATTGAATAGGGACATCAAATTATATTTACTGAGATTTGAGGGATAATTTGATATATGAGCACGAAGTAGAATAAAATCTGCTTGTCTTATGAACTTTTTCTGAACTGTTTCAAGCATTTGTATAAAATGCCCGTACAAAACTGTTGTGAAGAAATTTAAGCGTTTTTTCTGACTTGACCTTTTTGGAATTCCGAATAACAAAGCTAAGATTCCTATAGGACGTTCGTTTTATATTTGTTATATGGTCACTGAATGATAATTTTTGGTCAAAAATTATGTCCAAGTCTTTCACAGAATGTTCAGAAACTAAATCAATTCTGTTTATCTTATAGTTGAATTCAGTGGTTTGTTTTTTGTAGCTAAATGTAATAACTTCACATTTTTGGGCATTGAAAGGTAAATGATTTGTGTGCGACCATCGAAAAACATTATCTAAATCTTCTTGCAACTTCATAGCATCTTTCAAGTTATCAATTTTTGAAAATAGCTTCATATCATCTGCAAGAAGTGAGACCCTACGGTGTTTGATGCAGCTGGTGATATCATTGATGCATATTAAAAGCAACAGTGGACCTAGCGTACTTCCTTGTGGAACTCCAGAAGTTGAAATGTACCGCTGTGAATCAAAATTTTGTACAGTAACATATTGCTCCCTGTTTTTCAAGTACGATGCTATGAAATTACAGAAAATATTACTAAAAGAATATGATTGAAGTTTAAGAATCAAAATGACATGATCTACCTTGTCAAACGCTTTCGAGAAATCAGTATAAATGGTATCAACCTGGCTACCACCTGCCAAACAGTATGTTGTATAATTTACAAAATCTAGTAAATTTCCTGTTGTAGATCTACCATTTCTGAATCCATATTGGAATTCTGATAGTTGATTTTTAACGTGAAAAGTTATTCTATTACACATACTTATCTCAAAAACTGAAGCCACGTTTGATAGTATAGCTATTGGTCTGTAGTTGGCAATCTCCGAACGATCACCATGTTTGAAAATAGGTGTAGTTTAGCTATTTTGAGTTGACTAGGAAATTTTTGTGACCGAATAGCTAAATTCTTGTAGAGTTCTTTCAAAATTTGTAACATAGTTATTATATGCTATTTTTGTTTCTCTTTTGATTTTAGCTCTCAAATATTTAAAAAGAGGAAGACATTGGGGAAGTTTTTTTTTATACAGTTCATGGTTTCTTTCTTTGGCTTTGATGTCAGAGATAATTTCATGTGTAAACCATGTAGGATATTTGCTTTTCTTATATCTTGATTTAGGAATAGATAGATTGAAATTTTCATATAGTTTTTCATAAAAGATATCTAGGGCAGCATCAAAATCTGTTTGATTTTCTAACTGATCCCATGTCTCATTTTAAAGTAAAAAATACAATTGAAGGATATATGTCATCTTGAAATTGAAAAATGTTGGCTTATTAGGATCACACATTGGAATATCTTCTTTCAATATAATATTAACGTGGAATGCTGGGTGATGCGAATCTTCAGGAACAAAGGGGAAGTCATTATGAGTTACTATACATTGTGAAGTAGAGATAATTACGTCTAGGTAGTTATTGTTCTTATTTGCTATTCTGTTATGATGATGAGTTCCTCCAATTATGTTCGAAAAATTTATTAAACGATTTGGAAGATTTATATTATTTTCCGCTATATTCAGATCACCCAGTATTATTGCAGCATTGTTGAAACTCAATATAATGTGTTCCAAGAAATTGAATATACTATCAAATGTATGTTGATTTTGGGCAGGTGGTATGTAAATTACAAATATTATTTGCAATTTTTGGTTTGACCTTGCTTTTACAGCTACAATATCAACATATGGAAATGGTGATATTATTTCTAGTTTAGTAGCATTGTATTCTTCATTTACTGCACATAGAACTCCACCACCTCGACTTTGGTTCAGTGCACTGTAGTTTATGTCCTCTCTAAATATATCATAGTCTTCACCAAATAATTCACTATCATAAATAGGCGTGTACACCTTAGTAGAACTTTTAACTCAAACCATGTTTATAATGATCCTTTTATACATACATAATGATTGACGACATAATTCGATAGAAAAATTAACAGGAATGTTTTATTTTTGGACATAAATAATAGTACCTTCTGAAAACGGACCCTCTTATGACGTAGAAACCTCATCTCGCCATAGATAAAAGAAAGTACCAAAAGCCCGACGGAGACTGAGGCAACTGATATATTAATTCTTTCAACTATGATCTCGCGCTAATTCACTTTGTCAGAAATCATGTATCATTCATCTCTGTCTGGAATAGTCTTGTGTCAGTATTAGGGTTTTGACGTCACATCATCGCCTCGTTTTCAGAGAGATTTCAATAATTTTTTATAAAACGTAGGAAGCTCACAGCAAGAAACGGTTTGCGGTGGTGAGCTAGTTTGGGTGAGTTCTATCGAATTATGAAATAAAAATTTTTTGTGATATAAGCACATTCCATCATGCAGCCACGTTTCTGTAAGGGCAATCACGTCGTAGCTCGAGTTCAGCGTGTTAACAGTCTTCTATTTTGGTCCGTAAGCCTCTCACATTTTGATAATAGGCCTCTAGTGTTTTATAATGTGTTATATTAGCCATTGTAAATGATATATTGTTTGTGTCGCTCAAGTTTTTTTCTGTAGGCTGGACATACAGTTCGGTTGGAGCTTCTTACAGTTTGAACAATCAAGAGGAGTATCTTGAGAGCAGCTTTGAGGTTCGTGGTCTCCACCACATTTGTAGCAAGTGTGTATTTGTTCAGTGCAGTATTTAGCCACATGGAAAAAGGCACAGCATCTGAAGCACATGGCGATATTGAAGTATTCCTCGGCATAAACTTTTGTCAAATCAAAGTACAGGGTTTCGTTTCTCATTATGTATTTGAATATATCTGGAGGAACTTTTAATATCCAGTTTTCTCGTCTACATTTTCTTTTGGTTATATATACAGGGTGGGCCACCAGTAACGCCTCGGTCTCTAGAAGGCTAACCACTTATCTTCTTGGAATTCTTCCTCTCTAGGAAGTTGCATGTCAACATAGGCTACCATTTGAAATTATTTTGGAACATACAGGATGTCCCCAAAAATCACAAAACACTGAAGTTGAACTTTTTTCTTTCGAACACCCTATATATTATTTCATTTTGAGATTCTCCCTGATGAGCTGATTTCAACGACCCATCATACTTGGGGTCTAGCAGTTATAATTACTGAAATATAGGGTGTGAAAAATCGAGATTTTCCAAGTTCAAGAATTTTTTGTGTCGAAACTATTCATAATTGGTCAAAACGGCTTACATGTCCCTATCTCAACTTTTGATTAACTATCTACTGATATTTGGGGACATATACCGGGTGATCAAGATTCTGAATTCTGCACCACCCTGTATTTGTTTCAATTAAATGTCAGTAGATAGTTGATCAAAAGTTGAGATTGGGACATGTAAGCCGTTTTGACCAATTATGAATAGTTTCGACACAAACAATTCTTGAACTTGGAAAATCTCGATTTTTCACACCCTATATTTCAGTAATTATAACTGCTAGACCCCAAGTATGATGGGTCGTTGAAATCAGCTCATCAAGGAGAATCTCAAAATGAAATAATATATAGGGTGTTCGATAGAAAAAAGTTCAACTTCAGTGTTTTGTGATTTTTGGGGACATCCTGTATGTTTCAAAAATAATTTCAAATGGTAGCCTATGTTGACATGCAACAACCTAGAGAGGAAGAATTCCAAGAAGATAAGTGGTTAGCCTTCTAGAGACCGAGGCGTTACTGGTGGCCCACCCTGTATAATATTTTAACCTTTATCGTCGCTGAATTTTTCACT